ATGCCGATGCCGCCGCCGCCGCCGCCCGCAGAAGGAGCGAGCCCAGCAGCCGCGCAGCTCCTGGCTCAGCGGCGCCCCGCGGGAGCCTCCCTCGCCCTCCGCTCCCACCGGCGGCTCTTCCCACGCGTGGGCCGGGCGGAGCAGCGAGCGGGGCAGCCTCTCCTTCTGCCGCTCTCCCAGCTCCTTCCCCGCATCGGAGTCGGGGAAGGAAGAAAGGAAGAAAGAAAGGAAGGAGAAAAGTGGGATGGACGCCGGAAGCGGGCTGGGCTGCAAGTGCACAAGCACACAACACACATACACACAACTCACAGGCAGATTGACTGACACACACACGCGCAGAGGGAGGGGGGAAGAGGCTCCTGCGTGGTCTGCCCAAAGCGCCTTTCTCCTTCCCTGCCCCTCCTGCCCTCGGAGCCCGGCTTTCCACGAAGCCCAGGAGCTCCTCGACTTACAACCACAACGGAGCCCCCCCCCCATTCCCTCTCCTAAGCAAGGCAGCTGATGGGTGAGTTCCCCCCCCCCCGCTTCACGACCACCTTTCGACGGTCAAGCGAATGGCTGTGGTTGTTCAGTGAGCCACACGGTTGTTAAGCGAACCCCCTTGACTCTGCTTGTCAGAAGGTCACAAAAGGGGATCACATGACTCCGGGGCATTCCGACCGTCCTAACTATGAGTCATATGCCAAGCGTCCTAATTTTGATCACCTGACCATGGGGATTATGGAAGATTGACGCGATTTAAGAGAAATCAGGACCTTGGAGGTCTTCTAGTCCAACCCCTGCTGGAGCAGGAGACCCTCGGCCACTCCTGACAAACAGCTCCCCAGTCCTTCAAGGCCTCCAGTGCCGCGGCACCCACAACCTCTGGTGGCCAGCTGTTCCACCGGCTAACTGTTCTCACTGCCAGGAGGTTGCTTCTCTCCTTGGTTAGTTTCCACCCATTGCTGCTTCTTCTTCTCCTGCCTTCAGGGGCTTTGGGGAACAGGTTGGCCTCCCTCAAGTACTGGAAATCTGCTATCTTGTCCCCGCTGGTTCCTCCTAAACCAGACCTCCCCGATCCTTGGGTGTGGATCCTTGCGGATCAGCTGGATGCAAGGAAATTTCACTTTAATGTCCATTCAAAGTCTCCGTGAAGTTAGTCTCTGAGCTGGGGGCAGCCCCGATTCTCGTGTGCCCGAGGCCCTGGGGCCGCCGCTGGCCACCTGCACCAAGGGAGTTCTGCTTCCTTGGCCACGGGAGCCATGCGGTGGGGGAGGCGGGGCAGAGAATCTGAGCCGGCTGGGCCGCTTCCTGGCTGCTGTGCTTGGCCAAGGGGGCTGCCCCAAGGGGGACAGGCGCCCCAAGGCAGCAGAGGGGACCAGAAGAACGAGGCTGCCCCCTAGTGGTCTCCAGAAGAGGCGAGAAGAGGCCTTCCCATCAACAGGGTCCCCCAAAAAGCGGGGAATCTCAGCGCTCAGAAGCTGCCCCCAAATTGAGAGCTTCCAGCTGCACCAAAAGGATTAAATACTGATCAGGCGGGAGGCACCATTCACGGCATTTAACCAAATTTATTTTCTCTCTTTCCTGGGGATGCCCGTTGTGTGGGTGCACACTCCTCTGAGCGGGGGATTGCGTGTTTGGGCCGTCCAGGTTAGCGGTGTAGGCTGTTCGAAAGAGACTCTGGGTTTGAAACTCCATGCAGGCTTTGCTAGGCTATCCAGCAATTTCCAAGACAGCAACAATGGCTCTCTCTTCCTTAAATACCAATTTTTTCCCCCCCTCCGTCTCTTTCCCCCCACACGGAGGATCCTCTGGAGGCCAAAATAGGCAAAGTTGCCCCCGAGGCAAGGGCCCCGTTTTATTCTGGGGCCTGAGCGGGCCGGGAAATGGGACTGAAAAATGACGTTTGGGGCCAGATACACAGAGATAACAAATAAGAAAAAGGTGTGAACTCCACACGGCTCCAGAAACACCATCCTAGGAGTTCAAGAAAGAAGCAACGTCTGAAGACGATTTATTCACACGCACCAAGAGATTTTTGGCATTTTTACCAAAGCCGCAGCCAGCAGTTCAATTCCGGACTGAGTGTGAGCGCCACATCGCTCAGCTTTTGTGGATCTGCGCAAAGAGCTACAACTAAGCCCCCTCCCCACCCACGAAACCCCCCCGTTCCACACAGCAATGTCCAAGCCTGAGAGAGAGGGAGGGGCACCACCCCTCAGCTGTTGTACAGAGGCACCACCCGGGCGATCAGCTGCCTGCAGATGGGGCAGTGGGGGGGCCTGGGCAGGGCCTCGTAACACTTGAGGCAGGAGCACACATGCCCACAGTTGAGGAAGACGCAGGCCCGGCTGTTGCCCAGGCAGACCACGCAGGTGTTGGCGGCGTCCCCTCCGGCGGCCATGCCCTCCAGCATCTGGCGCAGCCGCCGCTTCTCCCGCTGACAGCGGTACTGTTTGTGCAGGACGAAGATGAGGAGGGCGCAGCTGGCCAGGCCGCAGAGCGTGGCCAGGACCTTCCAGAACCGGGCGCTCGACTCCTGCCGCTGGAGCAGCGTCTCGAACCGCAGGCTGCTCAGGCAGTAGCGCAGGCCCTGCTTGGGGGGCTGCAGCTTGATGGTGCTGCTGTCCAGGACCAGCTCGCCGACCCCAGTCAGGGCCGCCCCAACGGTCAGCATCTCTTCGGTCTCCTTGATGCCCTTGGGCCGCTCCCCACTGATGTAGTGGCCGATGGCATCGGTCAAGGACTGCACCGAGGGGTGGAATCTCTCGTAGACGGTCTCCAGGCTCAGCTCCGCAGCACTGAGGGGCTTCAGGACCCTCACGGCCACGTCGGGGGGGCCCTCGCCCCCCGGGGCCACCAGGTCGAAAGGGACTGTGTTTGTCCTCTGGTGGATGATCTTTTCGTAGTTGTTCCTGGGGAGATTTCATCCAGAATGAAAAATACCATTGTTGCACAATGTTAGAGTCTCTCCCTCCTCTCCTGTTATATGGCATCCCACTAGGCACATGCAGTGGGAAACCGAGAGACTTTTAAGCCGGGCTCTTTGTCAAAAGCCGCTGTAAATCTTTGCTGCTCCCATCTTCTCTGAACGTCTGGAGTGATTGCTTAGAGTAGGGGCGTCATGCAAAGTGGGGCAGACCCCCCCTGAACTGCCCTGAGTCGGCCTCAAGGAAGCTGCACTGTTTCCCAGCCCGGATCCTAAGTTTCAGATCTAAACACCCCACCCTCTATTCGAGGGAAGAGAAAACGCCGAGGTGGCTTCTCCCAAAAGCCAGGCAGCTTTTTAACATTGACAAAATCTAGTGTGGCAGAGATCTGAGTTCTATTTCATTAGTTACAGTAAGACAAGCAACGTATAATGACAACGATAACCATAATTCAGTGCACCCAAACACCAATACATGGAAAAAACAGTGAAATGTCTATTAAATTCGTAACAGGGAACTTCTCAAGAGAGAAACACTGAGATATTTCAATGCCTAGGTTAGGCCAAAGCACTTGGAATTTAAGCAAGAAGCTGAACATTTTGATCATTTCTATATACATGAAGAATATTTTTATAGTTCTTATGAGCATAAATTAACCTCTGAGAAATCATGAAACGTTACCACAGCACCTGGAAATGGCATCTGTGAACCCCCAAAACTTTATCTCAGAAATAAAACAACCGCCTTTCTCAAAACCTGGGGTGTTTTCATGTGGTAGCTTACAAGATTTCAGGCTACAATAATCACACCGATGTTGTAGTTCTCATCCGCCCGTCAGCAAGTTCCTAATTCCAAAATGAGGCACGCGTGGACTTACCAGAAGTGAGTGGTCCGGTTCCACACCATCTTGTGCTCCTGAAGGGTCAGCCTCTGCACCACCCCCTTGCAGCTGTCCACAAACTGGCTGTTGAGGCTTTCCTTGACGGAGCGCACCACACCTGATCGGGGCAGGAGAGACCGGGCAGTGGTCAGTGACCGGAAGGAGGGAGACCCCCATTGTGCAGAAGCCACCAAGGAGTTGGGTGGATGGAGGGATGGATGGATGGATGGATGGCTAATTGTTTAGAGCAGTCTAACGGCTCTCCAGATGGGTGGAGCAGCTTCCAGGGATTTTGAGGGGGAGGAGGGGGTGTCATCAAAAGTTGAAGCCCCCCTGCCCATCTGGAGGAGAGTACCCAGGAAGGCAAATGGCCAGCAACCTCCTGGATGGTCAAGCATCTGTAGACCCGTTTGGTGAATGCTTACAGTGGTGTCCCTCATGGAAGATGGTACAGATTAGGAGCCTACTCTGACGGTGGAAATACACAATTACACTTACACAATTTCCCCACAGGGAGGACATACCTTCTATCACCACGTAGGGGACGCATTTTCCCGGAGCTTCCATTAATAGGTTCTTTAAGTCCTGGTCCAAGGTGACCTTTTTAGCACCCTGCGGGAAGGAAGGAGAGAAACAGATTTTGCAACAGCATCCTCTGAATTACAGCAAAGAGATTGCTTAAGTTTTCAAACTTCCCCAAATATGCTTTTCTGGAAAATTGCAAAGCGGAAGGAAACTAACTGCTAGCGAAATTATAATCAGCAGGCATGTCAAAATAGATCCCCACCATTGAGAGGACCTCAGGCCTTCCGAAAAGCCGTTAAAACCTGGCTGTGCCGGCAGGCCTGGGGTCGATGAGTTCCCTTCCCCTCTCGAATCGTGTGGCTGTTGGTTCTTTTAAATGCCTTGTACTTTTTGTTGTAGTTTTTGTGTTTTTCCCTCCCCCCTCCTTGGGTTTGTGTGCCGCCCTGAGTCCCGCTGGGAATAGGGCGGCATATAAATAAAATGAACCTCATGAACCTCGAACCTCATCTCCTTTTTAGACACATCCACCTCACTGTGTTTGGCAAGACAACTTCTGAGCATGAACAAAATATCCAGAGTGGTGGATGAGGGCTTCCTTTATACCCAACACTTGTATGATCACACGTACAAATGAATGCCAGCATAGATTGTGCTTTCCTGAGTGCCTTTCCTGAGTTTCTCTCCAGTATTTAAAAATCTCCAAATGGACTCCTTGGACTCGGCATTTTGAAGATTCCCAAATATACACAGTGTCAGACTACCAATAAATCTCTTTTTAAACAGTTCCTGTAGCTGCTCTGAAAAGCTGGAAGCAAGCCA